TGTTCTGAACTTTCCCCTTTAATCTTTCTGAGATGCTTCCGATTTCGGCGAACTAATCCTAATGGCGTTTGCATAACACACGTCCTTTCATCAGGCCTTTCGATGACTTTCCCATAAATCCAAGGCTTATACTTTTGCCTAGGCTTCACGTAAACACGATCATCAACGGCTAAATCTTTCAATGGACGTGACGCTTTTTTATCATACTGAATCTTTGATTGAATTCTTCTCTTCATTATGTCCTCTCTTACAATTTTGCTGTCAACTAATCGTGGTTTTAACTGTGACGGTACCATTGGAATAATATCCTTTAGTTTCCGTGCTATTAATATTTCAGATGGAGAATATACGTATCCTTGTTGCGGAGTATTGCGATAAGCTAATAATGCCAAGTAAGGATCTTCGTTGCCCGATTTTTTTAATATGTTCTTTGCAACCTTCACCGCCGATTCTGCTTTACCATTCCCTTGACTATACGGAGACGACTTAACCGGTGTAAAACCACATTCTCTTGCAAAAGATCTGTATTCCGAACTGTCAAATTGAGGACCATTGTCACTAACGCATTCACTTGGAATTCCATGCCTTGCAAAGTTCTTTTTCATCACCTTAATTACAGAATTAGCCGTAGTGTTTTTCAAGTGATCAAGTTAAATGAAGTCACTATAATGATCAACCATAACCGATAGTTTTGAATTTTCTTGGGTTAATTATACGCGAACGCATACATCAAATGTCGCTCGCAACGTACTGTATATTGCAATATTCCAACAGCTCAAATAAGTAAAGGATCATTGCTTGAAGTTCTTACACATATTTGTAGTAGCTATCTAATGACATTTGAGGGTTGTTAGCTAATTAACTCTAATTGTCACAATTTGGAACCTGATCTTTTTGGCATGTCGTAATTTATTCTTTTGCATCCTTAGAGATTTAGACTCTTATTAGCATGCCTCGATAAATTTCTTTGTTTATTCTTTCGTATATATTCACTTGTGCTTATTTTATAGCTGTAACCTACGTCCATTATATTTTGCCAACGGAAATTTTAACGGAATCGATAGTCATTCGATATTTCATCCCCTGAAACTCAGCACGCGCAGCATTCGTGACCTGGCGAAGCAGAAACGTTCATTTCCTACTAGCCATTATGATTATGTGAAAAGACATCAATCAGTGATTCTTTTATTCATATATTCATTTGAGCTGTTGGAATAATATTGCAATATACAATACGTTGCGAGCGACATTTGATGTATGCGTTCGCGTATAATTAACCCAAGAAAATTCAAAATGGCCGACACATATATATATTCGAAGGTCAAACTTGTCTGGATCCAGTGTATATATAAATATATATATATATATATATATATATATATATATATATATATATATATATATATATATATATATATATATTTTTTTTTTTAT